TAGTCCTCGACTTATGATCGGTTTAGTCCTCGACTTACGACCGGTTTAGTCCTCGACTTACGACCGGTTTAGTCCTCGACTTATGACTGGTTTAGTCCTCGACTTACGACCGGTTTAGTCCTCGACTTACGACCGGTTGGGGGTCGCGGCATTAAAAAAGTTGAGAACCACTGCCCTAGAGGCCAAAGAGATCCTTGCAGGCCAGTGCAGGAGTTCAACTATCTGGACACATGCTGATCGCCATCAGTGGAATGAATTGCTTTCAGAAGTTGTGGGTGCTCCGACACTGGAGCTTTTTAAGAAGTGATTGGGCAGCCATTTGTCTGAAATGGTGTAGCGTCTCCCGCTTGCGCAGGGGGTTGGACTAGAAGACCTCCAAGGTCCCTCCCAACTCTGTTATTCTGTTATTCTCTATCACATGCCTTTCTGGAACAGATTGCTTACTCGATAAGTCGCTCTTGGGAATGATAAAAAAAATAGCCTGGTGTTGGAAGGATGCTGTCCTTCCCCCCCCCCCCCCATTCGTCTTTTCTCAGCTCCTTCAGTTGTTCTTCACAGGGTCTACATTGACCTTTAAATTTTATTCTGGGGGCATCTAGAATGGGGCCATCCTTCAGAGGCATCTGACTGAAGTGGGAGAGTGGAATGATTGCGTCCTATGAATGGAACACGATACTTTTGTTAGCCACCTAAATCACATGTCTTCTTTGCTGATACAGGACACTTCTGGGTCCTGTTCAGTTACATATCTGAGCATTACTTTTTTTATTCTTTACCTCTGTTAAATTTCATTTTGTTAGTCTCAGCCCTTTTCTCTAGCCACGTTCGTTGTGAATCTTATTACTGTATATTTCTGTCTTCTAGGGTATTGGCTATTAGGGTATAAACTATTCTACATTCGTGTCTCCCTTCACAAGCATTTCCCCCATCTTAATTCTTCTTGATTCCCCTTCTCATCTCATAAAAATGGTGAGAAATAAAGGCCCCAAGAGTGATCTTTGGGGCATCCCACTTGTTGCCCTCATTCGGTGAGGAATAATTGATCATCATCTTTCAGTAGATGGTTTTGGGGCCAGGAATCTTTCCTGTTCATTGTCACCCTTTCTGGTTCATATTGATTGGAACCCCAATCAGCATGCCACATACTTCACTGAAAACAAGATACATCATTTATAGCAGTGTGCAATGTGTATTGGGAAAATTACCCAATCAAAAAAATGAGATGAAATTAACCTGGCAGAAAGCCCATGCAGATATTTGTAATTACTACTACATTTTCAAAGCGCTGCTCTGTGATTTATTGGAATTTCCTTCCTTGCCTTTACAACACCTGCCCTTTTCCAGTCATCCAGCACTTCCCTGTTCTGGATTTCTCAAAGGCAAATGCATCAAGGATTGTCTAGACCAGGGGTAGGCAACCTTGGCTCTTTTAGGACTCATGGACTTCAACTCCCAGAATTCCTCCCTGGTCTAGACCTTGTTCCTTTCTTCCCTGCACTGCACTTTAACTGGTCCTGTAGATTTAAACCCATTCAAAATAAAAAAAAAAGTTGTTCCAGATGAGATTTTTTTATCGAGTTTAAATCCTGTTCACTTTTCTGTTGCTTCAGTTTCTTTCAAATAACTGCTGCATTTGGGTGAATCCACCTGACCCCCATTGTGCCTATGATGTTTTTGCTATCTTTATTATTTTTCACACTGAATGTTACTGTAGAAGCAGCGAAGGCCGTGAACTTCCTCAGCCTATATTCTGTTTTTACTTTCAGTGGTTTAAGTGGCTTTGCGGACCGGGGGGGGGGGCGGAGAAGAGGAAACAGCTCCGGGCGAGTGGCAGGCACAGCTCCATTTTACAGGCACTCCTGCACCGGGATGAAGTTCCATTTGCGTGAGCGGTGGCCACTCGCACGCGCATGTGAAGCTCCATCCATTTGTGCAAGTGGCCGGCCCTCGCACGTACACGGGAAGCTCCATCTGGGCTCGCACAAACGGAGCTTCACACACTCACACGAGTGCCCACCACTTGTGCAAATGGAGCTGTGGGTTCGCCTGGTTCCGAACCAGGTCTGGTTCATGGCCCAGGTCTTGGGGACCCCTCCTTTAAGAGCCCCCCTTTCAGCAACACCTTCGCTTTCCACAATGCATATTTCTTTACGCGCTAAGAGTTTTCATCTTCAGTTGCTATTTAAAGTCCCCCCCCCAAAAAAACCCAATTTTACCATGTTAGCCAAACCCGGCTCCAGAAACCAAATTGCTCCCATGGATAGCCCATTTGTGTAGCCATGTCATGACTTGCAGGGATCCGATTTGCCTTTTCAGTCCTCTCTTACGGACTGAAAGAACGATGAGCGCACACGTCTTGCGCTGTCTTCCAAGGTCTGCATGCCTGTGGTGTCTGGGTTGCAGCTATCTCTCCGTATCATTCCTTCCACACGTCTAAGCAAGAAGGGATAATTGCCTTGTCGGTGGACTGGGAAGGTCTTGGGAGTTGTTCTATCATGTCCTTGATCTTCACTCCAGGCAGACAGCGTACCTCTTGAGCTAATGGGTCCAGTCAACATAGTCTTTGTTTCGGTTCCTTTTGTAGTCATGAATCACCACCTGCCATTATTCTTCTTTTTGTCTTCTTATCGGGCACAATCTCCTCCTTTGCACCTTTTGGAGATCCATCCTCTCTTTCTGTTGCCCATCTTTGGCTTCTCTGGACAAGGTTTCTACGTTTCTGGAGGGCTTCTAACCCCTTTGCTTCTGGTCGTTGTCCTCCTTCCCTGACCTGCTCCCAGTTCATCTTGCCTTCCTTGTGGAGGAAGTCTTTGTTATAGCACCTCCCTGTCTTTGCACGTCCACATCCTTTCTCACCAACCCAGGTGTGACATCTTCTGCTCCGGTTCTTCACGGACTTGCAGTCGCAACGGCAGGCTCCTGTCCTGTCCACGTTCACGTTTGTTTCACTGAGCACAACTAAAAGGTTTTCCTTTCTTCTCCGGTTCCCTTCTTCTCCTGTTCCCATGGCCCAAATGCAAACTCTTGTTTTAGAGAAAGGATTTGTTAAGGAGTTGGCTCCCTCTTTCTTCTGCCCGCCACCCCCACCCCCACCGCTGTAGGAACTTCATTCTCACCATTTCTGGAGGTGAGATGCTGAATCACAGGGAAGGGGGGGAGGCACAGAGAGAGACCTACAAAATAGCCTCTGTTTCTAAGCACATGAGGAGCACAGACAAGGCGAGCTGTTGTCTCTGGAGACTGTTGGGAGTTCCACTTTCAAATGTAAGGAAATATTTACTAATTAGCATTTGGAGAAGGGGCAAAAGATGAAGCTTGCAAAAGAAAAGCTTTCTAGCCACTTGGGATATTTATTTATTTATTTATTTATTTATTTATTGAATTTATATACCGCCCTATCTCCCTTACGGGACTCAGGGCGGTGAACAGGCGATAATAAAAACCATGATAAATATACACAAATTTCTGTCTAAAATCAAATTAAATAACAGGCCTGCTCTAAAAATACCCCATACAAAACCCCCACTAAAACAGCTGAGCTGGGTGACCAAGTGCATTGGGGTTGTTTGATCAAATAATAAAAATCTGCCTTTCGTTTACGGCAGCTAAATGGGTATTATTGAATGTAAAACTAGCCATTTTGTTCGTATTCTGGAGTGTAAAACGAGCCACTGGCTGGGAAGATTGCTGTCGGAGAGCCAGGATGTGGTTCTTCTGCTCAAGACAGCATTCGTCACAGGAGACAGGGCCCTTGGCTTGGCAAGGGCCAGTGGAAGTTCAGCTTTTGTTGCAACACAGCCTTGCGTGTGCTGCTTTTGCAGCTTTCCCCTCTTCCTCATCCCTCTTCGTAGCCCCCCCCCACCTCCTCCTTCCTTCTCTGGTTTATTTCAAAAAGAATTGAAATGCTGGAATTTCCTGGAGGCTACAGTGATTGCTCACCCTCTCCCAGTTTCAGGACGGCTAGTCCAGGCATGCTAACGCGCGGGAGCTCCTGGCTGGAGACCAACCCATCGGCTCTCTTGGAAGAGGACAGTGGCCCCTTGCTCATCTGGTGAGGATGCTGCAGTTCACTGACAAGAGATGAGAGGTCTGGAGGAACTCCTTGCTTTTGCTGCCCTGGAAGACGCTCCCCTCCCCGTGACTCCGGTCCTGGGGAGGGGGCAGCCTCTAGCTAAAGCAGTGGTTCTCAACCTGTGTGTCGGGACCCCATTTGGGGTCGATCGACCATTTCACGGGGGTCGCCAAGCAAGGCTGTCCGCCATTTTTTCCCCCCTTTTCCGGCGGGTGCCTTACCTCCCTTGGGCTGGGCCAGCTGGTGGTCGGCCTGCTCCGTCTCTGCCGCTTGCCAGCTATGCCTCGGCCGGCGCAGGGGGCGGAACCACGCATGCATGGCGCTCCCGGGCAGGGAAAGTCCTCGACTTACGACCGGTTGGGTAGTCCTCGACTTACGACCAGTTTAGTCCTCAATTTACGACCGGTTTAGTCCTCGACTTACGACCGGTTGGGGTCGCGGCATTAAAAAGGTTGGGAACCACTGAGCTAAAGCTTCTGGAGAGAATTGACAACAAATGCACTTGCGGGTGAGGAGTGGGGAATTTGCCCCCACTCCCAGATGGCTGCGCTGGCTGAGAGCCAAGGAAGCCGGAGGGCTACCTAGCCAAGGGTGCCCCCAATACCCAGAGTTTGAAAGTGAAGGCTGAGAACCGCTGTACCTAGAGCTGATCCAGAAATGTAGAAAAGAAAACTGCATCAAAGGTTGGATTCTGAAAACTTCAGAAACCATTTCCTACCTTGCAGTTTCCCTCACCGTTCAACCCCAGTGCAAGGTGTGGCTTCCACAGCTCGTAGTGAGCGGCACCCTCCTTCCCCCCAGCTTGTGTGGGTCTGCGTACGAAAGACAAAGGGGACCACTTTCCGCCAGCGGGCAGATCTTTCCCCCGAAACTTGGCTAGGGAAGTCAACTGCGGTTTTGTTTGTTTTTTTCTCGTTTCCCAGGAAGCACCTCGACTTCCAGCCAGCAAGATGACGGAGAGCTTTGACTGCGCCAGCTGCAAGGAGTCTCTTTACGGGCGCAAGTACATCCAGGGAGATGGGGGTCCTTTCTGCATCCCCTGCTACGACTCCCACTTTGCCAACACTTGCGACGAGTGCAAGGAGCTGATTGGACACGACTGCCGGGTGAGGGCCACCAGTTCTGCTCAGGCTGCCCCTGCTTCCCCTCACTCCCCCCTGTTTATATGGGACCTTTAAAAGGAAAATATAAAATACTATCGGATGATCAAGACGGTACCCAAAACAAATCAGAATTAAGGTCCCACAACACTCCCCTAGGGCAGGGTTAGGCAACCTTGGCTCTTTTATGACTGGTGGACTTCAACTCCCAGGCTCAGGACTTCTGGGAGTTGAAGTCCACCAGTCATAAAAGAGCCAAGGTTGCCTACCCCTGCCCTAGGACATATCATTGCTTTAACACCTAAGGAAGCAAAAAGCCCAGCCAGCTCAAGGAGCACCTCAAGAGGCCCCAGTACCTCCAGCCTTTTGGGCTACCATGACTGGAGAAGGCCCAAGGCCACCTTGGCCTCCTCCAGACTCAGGACTTGCCCTTTTGACCCACCGTCTCAGCTGCTGACCCCCTTTATTTATGCCTCTCCGCCAGGCCCCTCTACAAGCTCTTTCATTGATCCCCTCCCTCCCTCCCCCCGTTTAAATTTCTTGGAGCAGCCTCTCTAGGTTTCAGCCCTGGGAATTTGTAGAATGGTTCCTGGAGCCTCCTGATTCACACACGTTACGCAATGGAAATGCCTGCTTTCTGGAGCTGTCCTTGCCTTGGCCAGATGAGGGGTGGGGGTTGGGTTGACAGGATTCAAACAAGGTTGAGAGCAGGATGGAAAGGAAGGCAGACGAGGTGGTACTGATGCAGAGACAAATTAGTGTGAAATAGAGTTCAAGAGCTTTATTTGTGTCTCTCTGTGTGGTTGTGTGTTTTTAAAAAAGGCTGTTGTCTTTATTAAGACGGCCTGAACGTCTGACAGTCTGATAGGTATAAATCCAGCAATTAATTAACCAGAATCGATCTGAAAGGGACCTTGGAGGTCTTCTAGTCCAACCCCCTGCGGGAGACCCTGTACCCTTTCAGAGAGGTGGCTGTCCAGTCTTTTGTCGTCGTTCCAAGACGGCTACTTCGAGGTATCTGGTGCAGATACCTGGGAGGTTAAAAGGCTCTGATGTTGCCGTGTTGCTGTTGTCAAACTTAATTGTTTTTGCACAAAGTCTGTCCCGTTCTTCCTAGGTAGAATCCTGATAGGCCAGATCCCATTAGTGGAAGAGATGCCTTGTGTGTATTATTGGTTGAGACCTGTGATGGTGCTTCAGATGTGGGGGCAAAGTAAACGTGGGGGTGTTGCAGTCTGCTTCTGGTGCTAGCATCCTCTCCTCTCGTCCTTTGCCGCTTACGGGAATCTGCCTCCGGTCGGGCGGAGTCGGCCTGCAGGGGCGGATCAGCCTCCTGAGCCAGGACAGCGTCTCCTCTGCTTTGGGCTGGGCATAATGCGCTTGAGTGAGCTGCAGGTGGCAGCCAATAGGCTTTGGCTGCTGCTTCTGGGGCCATCTGCACGGTATGGAGGGGCCGTCCCCCGGGAGGAACGGAAGCATCCGTCCCAGGTGCCCGGAGGCAGTAGGCAACTGCCCTCTGACCTCTGCTTCTCTCCCCCACAGGAGCTGTACTACGAGGACCGCCATTACCACGAGAGCTGTTTCCGCTGCTTCCGCTGCGACCGCTCCTTGGCCGACGAGCCCTTCACCTGCCAGGGACAGGAGCTCCTCTGCAACGGCTGCTATTGCCGGGAGTTCTCCTCCCAGTGTGTGGCCTGCCAACAGGTGGTCATGCCAGGTGGGTTGATGATGCCCCGAGCCCCGGACCCGGCAGCCCCTGGGCTTTGGGGTGCTCACCCACCCTCCCTCCCTCCCTCTGCCCACAGGCTCTCGGAAGCTGGAGTACAGCGGGCAGACCTGGCACGAGCACTGCTTCATCTGCAGCAGCTGCCAGCAGCCCATTGGCGCTTGTTCCTTCATCCCCGAGCAGAACGAGTATTACTGCGTGCCCTGCTACGAGAGCAAGTTTGCGCCGCGTTGCACCCGCTGCAAGAAGGTTGGGTCTTGACCGCTCAAGGGGAGGGGGACGCAGCTGGTAGGAGTGTCCTGGGGCGGCGGGGGGGGGGCCAAGCCAGCCCCTGAGACGAACTTCTGCTCCTGTGCTTACAGTCGCTGACCAAGGGCGGAGTGACTTACCGGGACGAGCCGTGGCACAAGGAGTGCTTCGTCTGCACAGGCTGCGAGGCCCCCCTGGCTGGGCAGCAGTTCACCTCTCAAGAGGACCAGCCCTACTGCGTCAAGTGCTTTGGCAGCCTTTATGCCAAAAAGTGCAGCGCCTGCGCAAAGCCCATCACAGGTGAGTCGAGCGGGAGGGCAGCCCGGCCCGGCCTCCGGCTCTGGAGAGCTGCACAGGGGACGGACAGCAGAATCAGATGGAGGTGGGCCCCTGTCCCATGCCGCCTCCTTTTTTTTCCCCCCCCCAGGTTTTGGGGGAGGCAAGTACATCTCCTTCGAGGATCGCCACTGGCACCAAAGTTGCTTCAGCTGCTCCCGCTGTACTACCTCACTGGTGGGGAAGGGCTTCATCCCTGACAGCGACGAGATCCTGTGTCGCGATTGTGCCAACGGTCTCTGAAGGAACATCCCGTGCGGTTGTCCTCTAGATTGTGTGTGTGCCAAAGTTCTCTCCTGGGGCAGTGGCAGGGCAGGGGTGGTCCTCCCCTCCCTGGCACTGCTGACTGGCGCCAGCCGCCTCTTTCCTGCTGCCAGACAAAAATTGTGGCTTTCTCACTCGGCCTGTCGTCTCTAGACGAGCTGGGGCCGCTTCCCTTTCTCACCAGCAGCGTGGTGGTGAAGTCCACCCCCACCACCGACCGTGATCTGCCTCGGGGGGCTGTTTTCTTCTGGGTCCGGAAGAGAGCAGGTGGGTGTCTCTCAGAGGGTGGGAGCCTCCCGTTTCCCACCCAAGTGCATTAGCTCTTCCCTGGGGATCCACCCCGGTTGTCCGACTGTTAGCAGGACAAGCTCAGCTGTTCCCCCTCCACCATCCTGTTTCTCTCTAGCCACCCCTGCTCACTTTTGGGGAGCGGAGACCTCCACCCCCGAGGCGTGGAGTACCATCTCTCTCATCCCCCCCCCAAGTTCTGGAGTGACAGCCAGCCCTTCGGCAGGGCATCCCTCCTTTGCTTTGGTCCCCAGGAAACCCTGAGTGGCTGCAAAAGAAAGCTTTTAAGGCTAAAAAGGCTTTAGTTTTTTTTCTCTCACAAACCCTGGGCTTCAGTTTTGAATCCCCTGACCTCCACTACCCTCCCCCCCCTCTGGGCCTGGACTCTCTACTTGCTGCTTTCAGTCCTGGGAGTCTCCCCACTCTTCTATCCTGCCCTCTCCCGCCTGGAAGGAAGGGGCTCTGTTGCTTTCTGCACACGTTCTCTGTGGCCTGAATTGCTTTCCTGCTTTTCTTTGGTGAAATGCTATGCATGTTCCTTTAAATGCACTATGTAGCCATTTCCTCAGATGCTCTGCTGTTGGGGAGTCGGAGACCACAGCTGGGTGTCTGCCTGTTGATGGGCTTGCTCACCTCTGGTCCCGTGGATCTCTCCCCTTCTTTTCTGACTTTCTCTAATAAATCATGTTAATGGATCGTTAAGGATAACTCACTTTAAGAACAGGGGGGGGGATAAGATGGGTTTGTCATGCCGGATTGGACATCCAGTCTTCTCACTGAGCTGCTTCCCAAAATCCTAAAGAATTCAACACTTTCTCCTCCGACCCACCATCTGAATGCCGCTGGGTGTGCCCAGACCTCTGCTCCACCCAGGATTTAGCGCGAGGAAGGGGAAGAGTGTCTCACAACAAAATTGAGGGATTGTTCCCACCTAGGGTAGGCATTGCTTCACGTCCAGGCCAGTCTGGCACTGCATTCAGCTGCAGCCCCTCCAGAGTGGGAAAGGAGGGGGAAATGTCTGCAACCGAAGTCAAGATTCTCCGGCAACTTGTGCTCGTAATAACCGAATGTCAGCCAAAGTAGCTATGGTGTAAAGGGAGTAAATTTGAGTCAGACTTTTTCCTGCTTGCAGAAGACGCTCGGCAACATGACGGGCTACCTGAAGAGGCTTGTGTAGCATTTGAACAGGGGCAGGGTGGGGCTCTGCTCCCACCTCTCCCCCACCTCTAGGCACTTGGCAACCGAGTGCCTCCTACCTCCATACTGCTGGAAGCTATTAGTGGTGGGGTGTATCTTCCCAAAAAAGGAAGCGGATCGGTTTCGTTTGGCCAGCAACATCTGGATTCTATCCCAAGGGGGTGGATGGGTCATGACCTGCTCTGCCTGCCTGATTTATTTGTGGGGCTGAGATGAGATCATGTGGTAAGGCCTGGCGGAGCAGTAGTGAAGTAGGAGGTGGAGCTCAAGAGGGAAGGAAGCCAGACACACAGAAGCCCCACAGGCGTTCTGGAGAGGCTTCAGTCGACTCTCCTAATTCAGCCTGGGCAGGGCGGGCCCAGTGCCGCCTTGGGGGGCCTTGCACCCTTTCTTGCCTTTACCATCATGGGCCTCCTGGAAACCACAGTGGTCCTTCTCCCAAGTCCAGTTCTATCCATCCCAAAAGATAATCCAGCAACAAACAACAAGAAGCCACCAAAGCTGTTATTGGAAGCCAACATTTCTCAAAAACAGATCACGCCAGTCAAACCTTATTGCATTCTATGACAAAGTGACTAAATTAGTGCATCAGCAAAATGCCGTGGACATAGTATACTTGGCATTTGACAAAATAGTCCATAACCTACTTCTTGATAAAATAGAAAAATGTGGGATAGACAGCACCACCAAAGTGTAGTCCTGAATGGAACTATATTTACACTGAGGGAAGTATGCAGTGGGGCACCCCAAGGCTTTGTCTTAAGTTCAGTACTCTTCATTATCTTCATAAATGATTTAGACAAGGGGATTGAAGAGGAACTTGTCAAATTTGCAGATGACAGCTCCTGGGAGGAATAGCCAATACACCAGAAGATAGGCTAAAGATCCAGAAGGACTGGGCCCTATTTAACAAAATGAAATTCAATGATGAGAAAAGTAAAGTTTTACACTTAGGCAAGAAAAAAGTGCACAGGTACAGAATAGGTGACACCTGGCTCAACAGCAGTAATTGCAAGAAGAATCCAGAAATTCTAGTGGACAACCATTTAAATGTGAGCCAGCCGTGTGCTGCAGCTACCAAAAAAGCCAATGCAGTCCTAACTGCATCAACAGTGGGATTATATCAAGGTCATGTGAAGTGTCAATACCACTTTATACTGCCTTGCTAAGACTACAGTTGGAATACTGCATCCAGCTTTGGTCACAATACAAAAAATAAAATGTTGAGGCTCTAGAAAAGAGTGCAGAGAAAAACAACAAAGATGATAAGGGATCCAGAGGCTAAAACGTGAACAGTTGCAAGAACTGAGTATGTTTAGTATAATGAAGAGAAGGGAGTAGGGGTGATAGTCTTCCAATATTTGAGTGGTTGTTACAGAGAAGAGGGTGTTAACCTACTGTATTTCGTAAAGCACCTAAGGACTGGACAAGAAATAACTAATGGAACTTTATCAAGGACAGATCCAATTTAGAACTAAGAAGAAATTTCCTGAAAGAACAATCAATGGAATGAATTGCCTTCAGAAGTTGTGGGTGCTCCATCACTGGGTTGTTGTTTTGTTTTTGTTTTTTAAAAAAGATATTGGACAGCAATTTGTCTTGAATGGTAAAGGGTCTCCTTCTCAAGCAGGGGGCTGGACTAGAAGACCTCCAAGGTTCCTTCCAACTCTGTTATTCTGTATTCTGTAACTATTCTACACATTGATAAGTACTCATGAACCACACTGGTCTAACTTCATTTCTAGCTTTGCTATCTGCCAGGATGCCTTATATGTTTATTAAAGGATGTTTCAGTACATCTGAAAGATGAGAAGTAGCTTATAAAGTTCATAAAGATCTATCGCTGACAATTAAAATTCAGTGACTAAATAATCAATGGGCCTATGGAGCCAGTCACATTTCCATTAAGGTCCACATTTCTTGCAAGAAGCTACCAACAATTAATGCATTTTTCAGACTCTTCAAAGTTCTCAGAGCACAATGGCTGTAGCAACAAGCTGAACCATGTAAAGGATTCAAAGGCAGACAAGGAAGGGCTTCAGCTGAGGTCCTTCCAGTAGCAAAAGCACCTTTAAGACGCTATCCAAAGTTAAAAGCCCAGTGGTGTTCACTGACCTTACAAACACTCTGGTTGTTGTTGCTAACCACTAGGGAGCACGTGGGCAGCCACATTTTACATCCCAAAGCAGCTTAAAAACTATTCTAAGGATGACCTTAATAGATTGCTAACTGAAGCTGTCCAGCCTTTCTGGGTCAGCTCCTTCCACCTGTTGTTCTGTATTCTGTAGCCCAAAAACCTATTTATTTGATTTATGTTGTCTCCCATATCTCTATGCAAGGCTCTGCAATAAAAATAGACAAAATACATAGCTGGGCATCAACCACTCAATTAGCCACACTGGAGATTGGCTCTATCCCAGGGCCCCAGGCTTGGGCACCACACCAAGTTTTCAAGGGCATGTAATGCCTGTGCCACTGCATCCTGCACCAACTAAAGCTTCCAAAGGCACTTCCAAGGGCAACTCCATGTAAAACACATTACAGTAGTACAATCTGGAGGTCACAAAGGCATGGCCATGAACAGGACACACACACACACACCAGTCCAGGCTTGGGTACAATGGATGTGCGATCTGAAGTTATGCAAATGCCCTCCTAGCCATGGCTTCCCTCTGCTTCTTGACCAGGAACCATGAGTCCACAGGATCCTGGATTGCACACTGGTTCTGTATAACGGGCAATCAGAATAGCCTTGAGGAACAAGAGCAGGGGTAGTCAACCTTGGCTCTTTTATGACTCGTGGACTTCAACGCCCAGAATTCCTGAGCCAGCATAGCTGGCTCAGGAATTCTGGGTGTTGAAGTCCACGAGTCATAAAAGAGCCAAGGTTGACTATCCCTGAACAAGAGGAAGAGTCACAGCCGACAATGGTCGGACAAAAGAAATCTTGGATCTCGGGCAGGATCTGAGAAAACGTCTCAAGACCCTCCCTAGTTCTCTTGGAGGGAGGGAGAGCTGCAAAACAATGTTATCATAGCTGCAAAACAATGTTATCATAACCTTGTAATAAAAGTAAATATTAGCATAGTCTTGGTTTCCTGGTATGGTCTGCCACAAAGGGCTGACACGGTTTTAAGATGGTACCACTCCATCCTTGGCCAAATCTAGAAGGTCTCTGGAACCAGGAGGTCCAAAACCCCAGATCTATCCAGTTTTCTTTGAATTGTGCTGAAGCCTGTTGTGCCCCATCCAGGCCCCCATAGCCTCCAGGCTCTGAGAAAGAACTACCCTCCACATTGTTCAAACAATCTGGGGTGGTGCTATCCCAACGTCATCATCCCCAACCATTGGATGACTTCACCCAGCAGTCCCATGTAGTCTTGAACAGGGTAGGGGAAGACACTGAGCCCTGGGAGGGGGCTTCTCTCTCACCTCCCAACTTCAACTAGGACCAGCCCAAGGGAACAAAGACAACCGGTATAAAACTGCCCATCCCCAACTCCCAGAGCCTAGCCTTAAGGATATCATGATCTCTAAAAGGTCAAGAGGAGTAAGGATGGAGGCGCTATCCTCATCCCTCTCCTGCCAGTGGACATCCAAGAGTGCAGTCAATGCCATCTGTATCCAGGGTACATATCCAGGCCTGAACTCAAAGGGATCCAGATGATCCACTTCTTCTAAGGCCTCCTGAAGCTGAAGCTCAACACTTTCGGTACAACCTTCAGCAATGGTCCTATGAGATGGGAATGCACCACTGTGACCACCCCGTCTCAATGAGGAACTGATCCCCGCCTAGACCGCCATGATGAGATCTAACATAGAGGTGGGTGAGCTAACAGTCACGACCATCCTGTCCCCTTCCTCTGCCCCAAAAGGATCACCCTCCCCCCAGGTGATCACCCAAAAGGATCACCCTCCCCCCAGGCCATTCCCAGCCCCCACAGAATCCACTCCAAGGCCAGACTCCACCTTAGATCTGATCAACTTTTTCCATCAGATGCCCAACATATTCCCCACAATGACCCTATAAGTCAGACATGTCAAACACAAGGCCCGGGGGCCGGATGTGGCCCGCAAAGTGGTTTCATGTGGCCCGCGAAGCCATCCTGAAAACAGTGAGGGAATGGCCCCCGCTGCCTTGGCCCTGGCCCAGGCCAGCTGGGAGCCAATGTACAATTTTGTGGTGGCCCTCTATGCTGAAAGGCATTCAGTCTTAGCTCCATAAGCCCCCTCCCCGCATGGCCTGAGAGGAACAGCGAGGCTTGGCGCTTGCCCCGATCCCACCCCCTTCTGCCAGAGACCCTCAGATCTATCCCACTCCTGCCCAGGCCCCCACAGGCACCCTTGACGCGAACGATGTAGAGCTGGCCACACCCACCCAGTAGGCCACACCCACCCTGGCCACACCCACCCGGCCCCCTGAGGGCAACCGCAATGCTGATGCGGCCCTCAATGAAATTGAGTTTGACACCCCTGCTATAAGTGCATCCCCAAACCAC